ATACCTTGGACTTTGAGTCAAAAAAAATCAAAGATAAGTCTAACGTGGTTGCGGATGCTTTGTCCAGACATGCAAATTTCTTTGGAACCATTGTCTCTTATCTCGATATTGGGAATGAGCTAAAATATCAGATACGTAAGGGTTATGAAGGTGATCCTATCTGGAGTCCCATCATTGGGACCCTATGAAAAAACCCTGAACTATTCCCAGAATATCGAATAATTGATGGCTTACTCTTCTATTTCGATCAAAATGAAGAACGATTATGCATTCCTCACAAGGAAGAAATCAAAAGTCTAATCATTGGGGAATGTCATGACGTTGAGGGTCACTTTGGTTTTAAGAAAACATATGCCGATGTGCGAGAGCGCTTTGAATGGAAAGGAATGAAGGAAGATGTACTAACGTATATGCAGACTTGTCTTGTCTGTCAGAGGAACAAGCCTTCACATGAGAATCCGCTGGGACTACTAAGGCCACTGCCTATTCCGAGTGAGTCAGGTGAGTCTATTTTATAGATTTTATGACTCTCACTAAGAGCCGAAATGACAATAGTCAAGTAATGGTTATTGTGGATAGATTCTCTAAATACGCTATGTTCATTCCTTTGCCTGAAGAAGTTAGAACTGAACTAGTCATCCAAAAGTTTCAGATGCGGTGGGTCTCCGAGTATGGATTCCCGAAAACAATCATCTCTGATAGGGATGTTCGGTTCACCAGTCTACAATGGCAAAAGTTGATGGAAGTCCATGAAACCATGTTGACCATGTCGTCAGGTAGACATCCTGAAACGAATGGCCAAACTAAACGAATGAACCGTCTTTGTCAACAACTTTTGCGAATGTATGTTCGACCCGATCAGATCGATTGGGATGAGAACTTGCCTTAAATTGCTACTGCCTATAATAACAGTGTCCATAGTGTTACAGGTAGAACGCCTAACACACTGCATAAAGGATTGAAGCCTAGACGTCCCATTGATGCATTAACAAGGGACCAAATCCAGAGGCCACCCCCAGGTACGCATGAATTCACAGTTTTATATGAAGAAGACATAAAGAAGGTTAAGGAAAGCATCCAGAAATCCCAGCTTCAGATGATTGAACAGGCCAATAAACATGGTCGGCCTTCACATTTTTAAGAAGGAAATTTTGTCTGGGTTAAGTCTAAAGAATTTTCCTAAGAAGAAAATGGGTCTAAAAAACTGCTACCTGTCTATTATGGCCCCTGGGAAGTTCTCAAGGTGATTGGGGATGCAGATGGACCCTCCTATCGAATAGATGTACCCCCTCACCTAAGGACATATCTTGTCTTCCATGCGTCGAAACTGCTACCCTATGTGGAAGGAGATAATTTTCCTAATAGACCATCAATATTTCCACCTTCTATGAACGGAGGATATGAGGTTGATAGAATTTTGGAACATGGTTATTTTTCTACAGGTGGCAGAGGGTGACCTTAGAAGCAGTATAAGGTAACATTCAAGTCTCAACCCCCTACTGAAGCTAGATGGTTCAGTAGAAAAGAACTTCTACCTACTGCTCTTGATATTGTCTCTACATATGAACGTGGGTTACATGAAAGTTGACGTGTTTCTACGATGGAACTCCAAAATTGGGCCGGCAGGAACGCAATAACCCATGTTGTATGCCTCGTGGAAACTGAGAGCTGCACGAGGACCCAAGCTAAAGGGGGGGCAAAAAACCCCAGAAAAGGTTCAGGGCCTGGGCGAGAAACATTTGACCAAAGGTCAACTGTCAGGCGTCCAACAGTCAAAGTCAAGTGTACCCAGCTCAGGCCGCCGATCAGGCACACACACTTGTTTGTATGCAGGTACCCAGACAATATCAGGACCAATGGAGATCTGCAACTGTACAATCCAGGTCTTCGGCTGTGAGACAATCTGGACGACTGTGGGCAGGAGACCTGAGGCCGGGCTGCCTAGTCAAACAACACATAAGAGTTGGTCTCCTGGAGGTCAACATTCGGTCATTCAGTCTTGCTATGCTGCTTGGATGCTGGCTTGACTTCGACCAGACGCTGGCATTGACGCTGGCACAACGCTGGCAAGACGCTGACTGGACGCTGGCTGCGCACAGGCACTGTGGACGACGACACTGACTGTAACAGCATGCTGCCGCATTCTGCATTGGGCACCAGGCATGGCTGATGTGGCGCTGCCTCTGGCCTACATTGCATGCTGATGTGGCGCTGCCTCTGGTGTTATGAACTTGGTTGTCTGACGAATTTTATCGCCACTCACACGCAGACAGTCTCATACACGCCCATACATGCATAAGAGAAGGGGGAGAGGAGACATAGTCCAAACTGTACGGGTACCGTCTCAGTTTCGGCCTCTCAGCCTCTCCCTACCCGGCTATAGGCTATAGGACCGTCTAGCGGTACAGGCCCTTAGGGCTTGTCCGTCCTAGGGGTAGCCCGGGTCTGCTATACGCAGTGGGGTTAGCTGTAGGAAATTCGAGATACTGCTGGGCCTATATTTCCCGTTATTTGCAGATATGCCCCTCATGAATTTTCCCACAGGTAGGTCTCTCGGTTAGCCCTCGGCCAAACCAGAATTAGGAATCTAACCTACTGCTGTTACTGTAGTCAGTCTCGGCAGTCGGAATCAGCAAGTCATTGCACTGGTCGCATGCTGATGTGGCGCTGCCTCTGGTCTACATTGCATGCTGATGTGGCGCTGCCTCTGGTCTACATTGCATGCTGATGTGGTGCTGCCTCTGGTCTACATTGGATGCTGATGTGGCGCTGCCTCCGGTCTACATGGCATGCCCATGTGGCGCTACCTCCGGTCTTCATTGATGATGTGGCGCATGTCACCTGTCTCGACTGCTGACGTGGCATTGTCCACGCTGTCTACATGAGGTGACTGGTTGCGAGGAGAAGGGAGATCGGGATCTGTGGATGATTGGGATACGAGATACTTACCTGAGTCTGACGTTGATATTGCATGCTGCTGGCTGTCTTCATTGTCTCCACAGGAGAGTAGTGCCACTTGGCACTTCTGTTTGGACAGGACTTATCAGACTTGTTATTATTGTTGTTTGATGACGTGGAGGAGAGGGGAAGCCCGAAGAAGAAGTGGGAGTTGATCGGACTATTATTGTCTGATCATTGTATGACTCTTCCACCTTCTCCCTTGTCTAACCTCCCTCCACTCTTTCCGTCTATTGGTAACGAGCTACTGTTGCAGATATCATTGTCATGATAATTGGAGACTTTGTACAGATCTGAGACTACAGGAACTTCGACGTCTGATGAGTATCTTTCTGACCGGGTTCATTACACTTAAGGTTCTGGCTCCTTTTCCATTCTGGGGATCATCAGTCCGGTTCCTATTTCCCTGGCAAGTCAAAATATTGATACATCATAGAACACGCTCACGCTTCCTTCCATCTGGCCGAAGGAACCCTGACCAGCATTGATTGCTCCTTACAGGAGGATTGACTGTTAGCTTGCCTTTCCCTGAACTCCCTCTCAGATTCCCCTATGGAAACCTGTCAAATAGGCTTTAAACAGTTAGGAGAACTAAGGAACGAAAATGCTTCCACATGAAAATGAAGGTTGTTGTTACTCCTTATGTAGCCTGTGGATCCTGTGGGCCCCCCATTGAGTGAGATATTGAGCTTCTCCCGCTCGTCTCCGAGCTGTGCCAAGTTTTCCATCGTAGGTTGGAGTCTCTCATCTTTTCTATTCTCCCCCCCGCCAGCCAGACCTCGACAAATTTGGAGAGGATACTGCGCTGTCGATCTTCATCTTCAGGCATGGAGAGTCTCATCGTGTGCCATCTGCATAGGATCTCTGCCCGGATCAGGGTCCTTGTCTCCACCCAAACCTTTTCTCTCGATGGTTTGCTGCATCTCTCCTTCCAGATCGACCCCGCCAAATACCGGAAAACGTCAAATGGAAACGCCAAAGACCGGAAAACATCAAATCGAAACTCGTTGATGCACTGGATTTACAGAAGTCATTATCCTGAATCCGAGCTATACTGGCGAGACCATCCTCACAGGTAGTGCTTGACTTGATTGTGGTCATCTGGTTCGATCAGGAGTCGAGCTCACATTCTGGTAATAGCAGTTACATGCATGTACCAGCGTGGGGAGATGTCTTGCTTGAGGATCGGGCTAAAGAGTCCTGGGTGTTGCCACACACCATAAAAAGGTTTGATGACTATTAAACCGCCAGCACACGGCCCCAGCCTTGCTGAAAAGAAAACTCGTCACGTACAAAATTTTTGGAGGCCCTGCGCCGTAGATAAGTCGAATCGCCGGCGGGCGGCCTCCCCAAAAAGGGTCCGCGGCCGATAACTAGATACACTAGTGGTTTAACAGTACAGGTAGCAATTGCTCAGGGGGTGGGTGGGGGGGGAGGGGGGGGGGTTGCTGTTCGAGCTCCATGACAACCTACGTTCTCCCCCGGAATACAACGTACGTCGTATGGTCATTATAGCTGGTATATTTAGACTAAAAGTCAGTGAAAGATACCTCAAATATTTAGACTATAATGACCGTACAACGCGTACGTTGTATTCGGGGAAAGAAGGTGGTGAAATGGGCCTGGATAACACAAGTGTCAAGGAATCAGGTGGACCTGGCACCGGCATCATGCGGTATGGCAAAGCCACTCTCTCATGTTATGACTGGAACATGTCCCAGATCTTGGGGCTCAACACAGCAACAACACAACAGCAGTTGCTGTGTCTGAGAACGGTTGTGGTTGATTGTTGTTGCAGACTCAGTTGCCTCTCCAGTTGACGGAGGTGATTTCTTTCATCAAGGACTGGTTATTGTACGTTGCAGCATGGCATTTGCTCATTTGTCATGCAGGCTTCATTGGTGGACCAGAAGCCGTATTTTGGTGTTGATGTCCGCTCCTTGCTGGCATTTTTTTCTCACTGCAGTGCCTGACGTTGTTGCAGGAAGATAAAAAAGAGGTTCGAGGTTAACTCCAGTTTACTGTCCAAGCGAAGGGTTGGGTTGGGAGGAAAGGGAGGGATTTGCAGCTGTTCATTCAGGAAGTCAGCAGCGTCTTTCAGCGAACAACAATCGGCGGGAAGATGGTGTGGTGTGCATATTGCGGGAAGGACCAGCTTGCTGAGGTCGACGAGGCCAATGGATTCACTTGCTGCACGGGATGTGGTCGGGTCATTGATGATCACCACTACTCGTCGGAGGTGACGTTTTTAAAAGGGGCTGATGGATCGAGTCATGCAGACGGGACATTTGTGTCCCATGGGTCAACCCCTCGGACTATCACCGGTGCAGGACGGCAGCTGTTCGGATACCAGACAGATTCACATGAAAGGACACTCAGTAGAGGAAGGAACAAGATATATGAGATCGCTGAACAACTCAATGTGCGACCCAGGGACGATCTTGTGAACGCTGGCCATAGGCTGTATACGATTGCAGTGCAGCATAGCTTCACACGGGGGCGGCGTGTCCCACAAGTTGCAGCTGCTTGTCTCTACATCGCTTGCCGTCAAGAAAACAAGCCTTTCCTGTTGATCGACTTCTCTGACATGCTTCAGATAAATGTGTATGTTCTGGGTGCAGTGTTCTTGCAGCTTGCTCAGTTGCTGCGGCTTGATGAGCATCCCATTATGCAAAAACCAACCGATCCCAGTCTGTTCATACATCGGTTTGCGGACAAGCTTGACCTTGGCAAGAAAATGCATGCAGTGGCGAACACAGCCCTGAGGCTGGTTGCCAGCATGAAACGTGACTGGATGAACACCGGGCGAAAGCCAAGTGGCATCTGTGGCGCTGCTCTGTGGATTGCTGCCCATGTGCATGGCTTCGAGCGGTCCAAGCGTGAAGTCGTGTCTGTTGTTCATGTGTGCGAAGTGACCCTGATGAGGCGCCTCATCGAGTTTGAGATGACTCCATCAGGAGGGCTTACTGTGGAAGAGTTCGAGGACCGTGCAAAAGCGCTCGAACAGCAAGGAACCATGCTCCCACGTCGACCTAAGATTCAAAAAATTGCGAGTGTCTCTTCTCAGGTTGGAGAATCATCTGGAGAAAAAGCAAGTGGTGCACTGAAGGAAGTGGATGAGGAGGAGCGTGAGCTTCTGTGTGAGCACAAGGGGACAGGAGCGACACACTTTGCGCATGGTCTTTGCCGCTCCTGTTACGAGGATTTCTTGGTGGTAAGTGGCGGGCTTTGCGGTGGTGAGGATCCGCCAGCATTTCAGCGAGCAGAGAGAAAGCGGGTGAATGAGGAGGAGTGCATCAAGGACGAAGACGTCAACACGGATGACCCTGAAGCTGTGCACATTGGGGAACCTTGCAAAGGGAAACCCGGGAAAAAGATGAATCGCCAGAAAATTACTTCTTCCAACGAGGATTCCGACTATGAGGAAACATCTGCCAGGAGGAGGAATGGAGGCAGGAAACAGGGAAAGGGAACGGGCAGAAGTAGGGACATGGTGAAGGAGAGGGATGTGAGAGGGAGAGGCAGAGGCAGAGGAAGGGGGCGATCGAAGGTGCAAGGTCTGTGTAGTACGTCGGGAGAGAGTGATGAAAACAGTTCACTCGAGGATAGGGGTGTCGAGGAACGGAGGACAGGGAAAGGCAACCATAGGCAGGGAAAGCTGAAAGGAAGGACCCGCCGAAAGAGGACACAAGAGTTATCTACCACATCGGAGGAGGACGATGAGGACCTGGCCAGGGAAAGGCCGTGCAAGAGGGGCAAAAAAGAAACAGAAAAACGGAGAGGGAGGGGGCCAGGGGGAGGGGAAGGGGAAGGGGGAGGGGGAGGGGGAGGGGGAGGGAGCAAGAGGAGAGGGGTTTCACGACCTGCAAGCATACCAGAGGATAGTGACAGTCATAATAGCTCAAGTGGTAATTGCAGTGAGAGCAGCCTTGGGCCGATGCGACCAGAACAAAGTGCGAAAGCAAGAGAACCTGTGGCCTCCTCGTCATCAGAAGCGCATGTACAAACAGAGGTCCGACTTCAGACTGCTGCAGCACTTAATAGCAAAGAGATGACAGAGGATTCCGGAGCTGCCGGAGACGAGGGGTTAGAAATGGTGCTGAAGGAGTTGCAAGGAGCTGCAGATGGTTTTGATAGCGAGAAGGGGGGCGTGAAGGAGCACAACGATCAACAGGTCGCTGTACCGGATGCTAGAGCAAGGGGAGTAGAAAATGGTAGTTGTTGTTATCCTCCCAAAGCGGGGATTCCGATCCATCGGGATGAACCTGACAGCACAGAGGGTAATCTTCAGTCGGAGAGAAGGGGAAAGGAGAAAGTGGAAGGGACCCCAGTGGTACAGGATCAGAGTGCTGAAGCTGAGGATGATGATGAGGATGACGGAAGATTTTCGGATATTGATGATGAAGAACTAGGCTTGTACATAAACACAGAAGAGGAGGTAAAACTGAAAACTATGGTGTGGACAGAACTGAACAAAGAATACTTAGAGGAACAGGCAATGAAGAAGGCTGCACTTGAAAGACACGAGGCAGCACTCAAAGCAGCCGTGGAAGCAGCTGGTACAGACAGTGTCGCAGCATTGGCAGCAGCGGCTGCAGTGGAAGTTTTCAACAGGAAGAAGGACAGGGGAAGGAAGCCGAAAGCCATGGATGCAGCCAAGGCATTGGGAAAGCCAGGAGAAACAGCTATAGAGGCAGCACAGCACATGCTCGCCAGCAAGAGGTTGAGTTCTAAGGTCAACTATGAAGCCTTGGCTGATCTCTTCGGTGATAGTGGACCAGACCCCGTTCCAAACCAGAGTGAAAAGCCAGATGCAGATGGGGATGCAGAGGGGAATACGAACAGGGCCAACAGGCCAAGAACCAAAAAGAGAGTGACTTTCGCAGACGAGGTCGACGCGAGAAAGTGTGTGGAGGAGGAGGAGGAGGAGGAGAAGGGTGAGGAGGAGGGGAAAGCAATTGTTGCCAAGGTAGTCTCTTCAGAAGGTGAAGAGCAGGAAGTTGCTGGCGATCATGAAGGTGGTGATGATGAGCATGGTGGGGGCGATGATTTGGACGAAGAGGAGGAGGAAGACGAAGGTCCGCCTGATGTTCTACCTAAGAGGGGATTTGTCGATGCCGATGACGAACATATTGCTTCTGGCTCCTCCCAATACAGGTTGGCATATGATCGTGATGGCTTTGACGACGATGCTGGTGATGCGGACTTCTTCTGATTGGGTGCCATTGCCTGCCTTGGCAACGAGAACTGGTGACATTGCTGTCATTCTGGAGACGGCCTTTCTGTTTCTTCACATGTCTGAAGGTGCTGATACATGGCGTGATAATTGTAGGGCCCTTGAGGGAAGCAATGGAGTGGAAACTGACGTCAAAAGACTCAAAACTGATTACTAAGGGACCTGATGAAGACAGTGCAGGGAAGAGGTAGGTCCAGGCTGTGTGTGTGTGTGTGTGTGTGTGTGTGTGTG